TCGCCTGCATCGCCTGAAAAATGAGAATAAGTAAACCGAGTTTAAGGCATTCTCCGGACGAGAATGGCAATGCGCGCAGCTTCACTTTGTTAACGCGCGTTTTCGCGAACGGGAGGGAAAGCGGCACCTTGAATTTTAATTCGTAAATAATTCACAGCGAGAAATTAAAGATAATGTTAGGAAAGCCCTTTCCATTAAACATTTTTATTCCCGCTACGCTATATTTATATAGTCGGTATTGCAATAAAAGAAGAGGACATACGTGGCTTTACTGAAATACGATTGACGATATCTTTCATTCCTCGAAGCGATAATTTAACGATAGCGCTGAAACTAGTTTTAGAGATCGAGCGAAAGAAAGGGAGATAATAAAGAGGGTAGCGCAAAGTGGCGGGGGATGCTGGTGGTAGTGGTATGTGCGTGCGTGCGTGCGTGCGTGCGTGAGTGCGTGAGCGCGTGAGTGCGTGCGTGGGGCGGAGGTGGACGGTAGTAGGGGGTGAGTAGTTTGCTCGATATTGAGGGATAGCTAAGTCGTTAGGTATGACGTGTTGTAATTCAACTGTGCGACAATACGCTGAGGTATTATTGTAAATAATAACATTGGCTCATCGAGGGCAATAAACTTTTTCAAATTTATAGCATCGATGATAAATGAATCTCTCGATATTATTTCTTTACATTATCGCGCAAACGACAAAATCAAAGTCTTTTTTAATTGGCCTCTTATCTGCGAGCGGAGATCGTAACGACTATTGATCGCGCGGTCGATCACTCGTCTTGTCCACTTTAACCGATTGTAATTCGAGCGTAAACTATCGCGTTCGTCCCGAAACAGGCTGGAACGAATTTCGTCCAAGTACCTACGATTCTCCCGCAACTCCTCGTTTCACTTCCCTCGAAGATTTTCTACCTATCGATAAGGCGCCTGGCACGTACGCCACTATCAAACGATCAACGATCCCGATAAGTCGGCCAGTTCGTCATTGAAGGCCTCGGTCGTCTCCGAGTATTAAATCGCCAATTGGCGAAACGCATCTCTTCCCACGTGGACGATAAAATTAACCGCGAACCTACCCCCTCCCGCCACTTGACAAAAAGGAAAACTTTCACCGCGCGAACCTCGCCCATTAATGCCGCCGTCCTCACCTAAAGTCTAACTAGCGTTACTATACTATTGCGAGACCAATAAATGGAGATCCGCCCGAGCGATGGAGCAGCCATTACTCAAGCGACGAATCGCGCGACTAGAGTTGTAAGTGCCACTTGGTCGCGGCGAGTGCGAATACGAGCCGCGGTAACGATTTTCAGGTCGTAAATCGGGAACGACGAAAAATTCCCTCTTTTTACCACTCCGTAAACCACGACTCTCTCAACAATTCTCAACCGATCGCGAGTGACGCGCGTACCCGTGACGACCTCCCTCCATCCTTCTTACGACTTACTTTTTAATCCGACACGTCACGAAGTTTTTAGCTGGGCGGGAGGAGAGGGAGCGGAATGGTGGTTACATGGGGGATGGGGGGATTGGGGAGGGGGGAATAGCCGAAAGGGAATAGATAGAGTCCGCGGCACCCCGAGCTGCCAATTACGAGCTAATAACGCGCGCCTCCCGGCCCTTCCGTTTGCCCCGTAAGATCGCCCTTATGACGCTCGGTACCCCGAAATTCCAGAGCTCGGCATTGTCGGCGGATCTTCTGGAATGCCGGACCGATCATACGTCTGCAGGAGGCCTCCGCAGGGATTCGACCGATGCTTTTTGCCCCCTCCGCCCCCTCCGCGTCCACCGCCCGCCGCTCGCTAGTAGGTGCGCGTGTCGGCGACTCGATGTCGCCGCCAATCTCTATTACTCGATCTTTACGCGTGCGGGTAGCTTTTTCGGGCCCCGTGAGAAAAAGCTGCCGGGGCCTTGGCTTTTCGCCCGCTGACGAACGGCCTCGCTCAGCTATTTCGTGATGAGACCCTCATCGCGATCTCAGGAATGGCCGTGGGTGAACAATTTTACTTATTTATCGGCGAGTGCATTGCTTACGTCGTCGTACTACTTCGAGACAGACAGACAGACAGAGAGACAGACAGACAGACAGACAGACAGACAGACAGAGACATACAGACAGAGAGAGAGTGTGTGAGTGAGCGAGTGGGAGAGAGAGAGAGAGAGAGAGAGAGAGAGAGAGAGAGAGTGATTTGAGGAGGAGGAGGAGGAGGAGGATGGGGGGAGGGCATGGGAGACACGATAGGTCGTGTAATGCTCTGAGCAACATAGCCAAGCTTGTTCCTCCCTTTTCCTACGAGACAAGCAAATTATTTACTATTGTGTGTTTTCAAATGTCCTGTAATCGTTACATGGGATTTCAGCTAATGGCACAGAATGTATTGTGATGGAATATTGAGCTCATTTCTCCGACTCCGGGAATGCGTTATCGGTATTTGTTGGGCTTCCACCGAGTTCATTCCCTCGGCTCTCCACGACGCTGTTCTTCGCATTGTAATGATCGATAATTATCGACGATGAATCTCTCTAATTTACATCTCTACTATGAAGGAGGATTTTAATTAGACGAATCCGCGCTAATCCGATACTTTTTCGGCATTTAAATTGTACCGCTCGTTCACCAGCTCGACTCGAGCAATAGCTTTTTCATACAACGTTACATCCGCAAAATTAATCAACGAATTGTAAAAGAGCGTAATGAAATGCAAATATAAGTCGCCAGTAGATAATTAATGAACACTACAAAACATCTTGCGGTGAAAGATTTAGTGGCATCTCTCCCCACGTTCTCGAAATTTGTCCATTAATTATGCATTTCTTTGCACATTTGAGCGCACTTTAACGCCCGCCTAAAATTATTAAAAAATTGGCCGCCAAATATAACGGCGTTATATCGTTCTTTATGGCGAACATTGGGCTTTTCGAAGCACAAGACTCCGAAGCTTCGGGTCGTTTTGCTTTGGAGAATGTATATATTAAACAAGTTACGGAATACATAGCGCGGCTTAGAAAAAAGTCTCGTGATATGATCGAGAGATTAATATTAATGGAATTCATTAATAAAGCCGGCCGTACGACTTAATCGCTATCAAATAAATTTCATTCGCTCGCTCGAATCGACTTGTCTGGCGTTCGCTCTGCTCGCTTACACGTGTGACATACGAGGGGAACAATAATCGTCGAATTACGTCATAAAAATAACAAATCAGGGCTAGAAATCTGCCGGGGAAAGTATTAAAAATTCGACACGTGACTCATTGATCCGAGATTCCCGGTAATAGCAGTGGACGAACGGTTATAGCCAGATATTGGTTGCAAGATATCCCCGTAAAAATAAAGGAAGCATGAGAAAAACAGAGCTATTCCCAGCCGATTCTTCAAATATCGTGAATTCCCTCCAACCCGTTAATTTCGTGTAAAAGCCCAAAGAATCCCCGGTCTCGGCAGAGCAAGAAACGAGCCGCTGAAGAAAAAGAAAGCAAATTACAACGACGTTGACAAGGATTTTAACAGCTGCGTCGAAACATCTCAAGTACACGATGTCTTCGCCCCCTTTTCCCGTCCATTTAATAACTTTAGTCGATGCTGTGCTACATCCATCGTAAATTTCCCAAAACTTAACGATAGCGGAGGATCGAGCCCAAGCGGGGAAAAGGTGAGGAGGCGCGCTTTAAGGCTATTAGCTTCGCGAAACTCGCGGCCGTTGGATAGCCTAGCGAGCTCATGTACAGGATGTAGCCGAAACCGGGGGGAATTAAATGGCCTAGGGGCTGGAAGGAGGTAGTAGGGTGGGAGAGAGGGCAAGCAGCTCCGAACAGAAGTCCAAGTTGGTCAACCACGAATCAACCATTTCCTCCTCCTCGTTTCGTTCACTCGCCATCCACTCGACATCGTCCTCCGACTCCTCCGCCTCCCCATCATTACTCTCACTTCCCCTTCGCGACTCCCCACCCATCTACCCTCATGCACACGAGCACGCGCGATCGTATAGCCGCAAATCCCTCTCCCCCATCACCGATCCTACAACTACCCCGGCCCCGCGCCACCCGATGTTCGTAGCTGATCCGCCGTCGCCGCCTCTCGCTGTTCCACTTTTTTACGAATATTTCTCTCATCTCCTTTGCTCCGCTCTTCTCATCATCCAGCATGATGCGAATACCTGTGCACGTGCCCCCGCGAAAATCCCAACTCAAAAGCCAGAGGGCTTTTAATTCATCTCGATCCAAGGAGTCTTGTGGGCCCTGAGCGAGCCGCGCGCATTCGACGAAATCGTGCGGTTTTATGAGATCGACGTTTATTTTTCCGGAATCTGGAGGGCCGCATGTTAACGATAATGACGACAGCTTCGAGTGAAATGCCGAAGCTCGACTTTTTACCGGAGTAAAAAATGCGCTAATCGCTTTCCCCTGTCAATTACGCGAATTGCTCGCGATGCTCCTTAATTTGGCTTTATTATTTATCCTCGTTTTTACCATCTAATGAATAAAATGGACAATTGAACTAGAGAGCCATAAGTACCATTAACTGGATTCTCCTGTAAAAGTAGCGTTAGATTAAGCATAATGTCTCAATTACCTCCAAAAATATTGCACGCCTTCAGGAGTTCGTCAAATAATTGACACGAAGCGCCGGGGATAGCAGTGCGTCATCGCAGATAGCCGCCTTTACCTTATCTCCAGTTGAAAAGTCGACGTCTCATCGGGAAAAAGTGAAACCGCGCTGGTTTATTAGCAGTTTAAAGGTCTAAAATTAACGTAACGAGCGCCCCGATATACCTCGACCATTTGAATCGTAAAATACATGGAGAGAAGGAGGGCACTTGGGTCAACGTCGTGTGCCTCTGGATGAGGAATGGACGAGCAGGAGCGATTGCGCATTGGAGTCGTAATAGCGAGTGAAATAATCCGTGGTCCTTGCTCTCTCGGGGGTGGGTGGGTGTGGGGGGGGGGGGGGGGGCTTTATTAAATAAGCGACTGTTCGCAATAAGTTCCGTGTGCTCTGATTGCAGGTGATGGACACGAATGACAATCCGCCGACATTCCAGTCTTCGGCCTACTCCTTCGACATCCCAGAGAATGTGGTGCGCGGCAGCCGCGTTGGCCAGGTAGTCGCCGTGGATGCCGACGCCGAGGGGCCCAACAGTCAGATCAGCTACGCCCTCATATCCGACTGGGCGAACGACGTGTTCTCTCTCAACCCCGGGACCGGGGTATTCACCCTCAGCGCCAGCCTCGACTACGAACAGGTGCGTACGCCTCTTTTCTCGCCGTTACGACGCCCTTAAACATCCTGGATGATGTATGGATGTAAGATCGCTCGCGGTCAAACTTTATCTCTCTCTCTCTCTTTCTCCCTCTCCCTCTCTCTCTCTCTCTCTCTTAGATTAACGTCGATCTTTTTATTTGGATTTTGTTTTTTTTAAAACGGCGCTGCCCGACGAATACACTTACCTTTAAGAGCGCGCGCGCACACGATAAAAGCGCATATGGGTAAGGAGGGTAGGAGTATTCAATTGGGCCGTGCTTCAAAAGCTGCTGGATATGATATGATTATTGGCTTGGTAAATTCCCTCTATTTGCATATTGCGTCTAAGTGCCAATGGGATGTGAAGCGATGGAAATTGTATTCACATCGCGGGGAGAGTAATCGCCGATGCCCCATGCGTGTGATTTGTGCGATACGGAGGCAATTACTTCGACGCCACGACTGCTTAACGCAATCGAGAGCTTAATAAACATTGTCCTGGCAGTCGCTAGAAAAAACCTTAATTAGCGACAACAATGCGTTAAACAGCACTGAACGGCATTAAATTTATTACTAGGTATGCTATACGCGCTTATGTGATATTATACGCATTGGGCCGTTGGCTCGGTCTGGCAGTTTTTTGCACCTTGACTGTCTTATTCAGAAACTCAAAGAAGGTCTCTCACATAATTAAGCAGCGTTAAGGAACGAAATACTCTCACGATGTCTCAGCGCATCAGTGTACGCACATAATATTTGTTTCTCTCCGCACCATTCACCGTCACTAATGTATCTTTTTCTCCTACATCATTTGAGAAGGAATAATTTTGAATAAGATACGACCGGGACATTCCCTGCAAATCAGAATTGCTTCACACAAGAAATGCGAGGGTGCGAGAGAATGGGAGTGATGGCGGTGGTAATTTGGTCGTGACACAGACAGAGAGAGAGAGAGAGAGAGAGAGAGAGAGAGAGAGTTAAAGAGTTAAAGAAATAATGAATTTTGCGTAAGAAAAAACGTCGTAGTATCCTCGAAAGAAATCGTTGTCTTCATCGTCCCCTCCTATCCCTCCCACCAAGCCATCGGAGCACGCTATTTAATAGCGCGCCTCATGCGCCAGGTAGACGCTTCTCCGACTGTGTTCAAAGCGTGCATGTAGAATTTTTTAAAACACCTACGGAGCCGCGGGGATGACCAATAAATAAATAAATGTATTTTAAACAGTTGGCGGCTCGCCTATCGTGACGTCAGATGCGACGCAGTCTCCCCAACGCGAACAATTATCCGAAAAACGAATTTAAATAACCGTAAAGAAAGCAGTAACAAGAATAAAAGGAGCCGTTAAAATCGCATAAAAGTTTGAGCAAAGCACTCGATCGAAAAACCCGCTAGGCCGGGAGATTTTTGCCTCCCCCCCCCCCACAACCCAC